AGGGTTACCTTTTTTCCTAGAAAAAGAACTGTTCCCGAAGAATAGAAAAAATTACTTTTATGCAGTCGTCATTGATCTTTGATACGCATTTAGGATATCAATGCGAGCAAAGTCGCGGATAAAACCTATAGGGTTATTCGGAAAGTCATTTGGTTTTTTTTTTGTGGAAATGAAAGACAGTTTTCGTATAATAAATAAATACTTTACTAAATTATATATTGACCGTTCTGGTCCAACACCTTTTGCCATCTTTCTGGTAGTAGCATAATTCCACGCTCATAAAATTTTTGGTCTTTGCTGGCAAAAAACTGATCGAGGAGGTTTTTGACCTCCTCATTTGAGGTGAAGGTTTTACCGTCTAAAAAATTTTGGAGTGACCGGAACAAATAATAATCCGATGGTGCCAGGTCTGGAGAATATGGTGGGTGTAGCATTGTATCCCATTCAAGCTGTAAAAGCTTTTGGCGAGTGACCAAACTTGTGTGAGGTCTCGCGTTGTCTTGGTGAAACACTACACCTTTCCTGTTGATTAGTTCTGACCTTTTCTGTTGAAGTGCATCATTCAGTTTGTCCAGCTGATGACAGTAGACTTCCGAATTAATCGTTGTGTTATCCGGTAAAAGCTAAAAAAAAACGATTCCTTTAAAATCCCACCAAACAGACAGCATCACCTTTTTTTGGTGAATATCGGCTTTGGAAATGGTTTGAGCCGGTTCATCTTTTTTGCTCCATGACCTCTTGCGTTTGACGTTGTTGTATACAACCCATTTTTCGTCCCCAGTGATGATGCGCTTCAAAAACGGATCATTTTCGTGACGTTTGAGAAGCGAATCGCAGACGTCAATGCGGCGACACAGATTTCTCTCTGTGAGAACATGGGGAACCCATACATCGAGCTTCGAGGATAATCCCAGGCCTTTCAAGTGGTCATAAACTGTTGAATTTGATAAATTTAACCTCAATCCGATCTCACGTGTTGTTATTCGCCGGTTCACATCAACTAATGCCTTTATCGCGTCTTTATCAGCTTCAACCGGCCTTCCCGAACGTGGTGCATCTTCGACATCAAAATTGCCGGATCGAAATTTAGCGAACCAGTTCTGGCACTGGCGTACTGTCAACACACCTTCTCCATACACATCAGTCAATTTCTTTCTGGCTTGAACAGCATTTTTACCCTTTCTGTAGTAAAACAGTAAGATATGTCGAAAATGCTGCTTATCGCTCTCCATATTTAAAAGGGCAGCAACCGAAAACTACTGCGTAGAATTAATTGGAATTTTTCACACACAAGCCTTGCTATATGAGCTCTCAAAGCATATAAAAATTATACGGCTTAAATGTGAAGTTGGGTGCAAAAGAATACAATTAAATCCTCCGTCGGGAAAAAACGAAATGACTTTCCGAACAACCCTATATAAGGAAATTTAGTACATAGAGGACAATTATTTGACTGTTTACATAGGCGACAGGCTGGGTGCAAGAGATGATGATGAGTCGGAACACACAGACTCTTCCACCTCCCCCTTCGCCTCCTCCTCTTCCCGCATCCATATAAATGTATATGTATACCGGCAACAACAACAACACGCTTAGGACCGCTATATTATAGAAGAACGAACGCATTCGTGTGGTATGCAACATTATTCAAGGCCAGTCTCCTACGGTTACGTGGTTTAAAATTAGTTTCAATGTGAAGGTCACCTCTACGATAGTCACACACACACACACACATACACAGATACATAGGTACACGGCTGCATGCATGTATACTGACAAACAAAATAAAGGAGCGGCCTGTGTTTCTCAGCTAAACAAGCGCAATACCAAATCCCCAAAACCATCTGATCCATCATCCATCTTTTCTAAACGCAATAGGAATGAATATATTGTAGGTGTAGATCTCGATGTCGTCGTCTCTTAGACATTCAAACAAAAGAGCATCATAATGAACAGTTACGTATCGTTATCATGGACAACGAGATTTGACAATTATTTTTGTAGAAACAATTGTTCTTCTTTCAGTAAATTCCTGCTGAAGCTGTCTTGTCTCAGGTTCAAATATCTTCATATTTATAATTTTTTTAATACAGATTTGTCACTTAATGTATCAAAAAGGTATGGAAGGAAAGTAGATCACCAGTACTATTTTAATGAGACATCTTAGTAAAGGTCTAGATGATGGCCCCCCACACCCGAAGGGGTTGGGGTGGGTGGGATCGAAAGAGGGGTGCCCACGATGCCCCAGGCCCATACAAAACAGGAGCCCTCTACAAAATTAGGATGTTTTAAGATATTTTTATTCCAGAATTCGTAGCGTCGTCTCTCACCAGCTTCGTTTCGTTTTTTTTTTTCGTTTATTAAAAGAACGGTAAAGGTCTAGATGATGGGGGGGGGGTCGAAAGAGAACGTCTCCCCCACCACTGTACCATAAAAAGTTCGTGGCGGTCTCACCCCCATAAAAAGTTATGAGGGTTTAAAGTTAATAAATATGCCCAATTTTGATACATTTCTGGGCATGTAAATATTTATATAGTCATTCTTAAACAATATTCAAAGGTAAAACTAATGAAAAATACATAAAAATATTGAGAAAGTTATAAAAAACATTATTTAAATAGCTTTATCACTTCGGGGGTGGGGGCCATCATCTAGACATATGAATTCAAAAATTTTATACCACACAGTTACCGAAAACAGCCCCTCAANTGAGACCGCCGCAAATTTTTTATGGGGTTTTACTCAGATGACCACCCTCTTTCGATCCCCCCTACCCCAACCCCATTGGGGGGGGCATCATCTAACCCCCATAAATTTTTATGGGGGTGAGACCGCCGCAAATTTTTTATGGGGTTTTACTCAGATTACCACCCCCTTTCGGTCCCCCCTACCCCCACCCCCGAAGGGGGTGAAAGCCATCATCTAGACCTTTACCCAATCATCTTCTGTGACCATCCCATGGTTGTATGATGACCATTCCTTTGAAAATATCATTTGCCTAGGTACCACACCAAAAAAAAAAAAAAAAAGTATACTTGTGAGGTATTCCCGAATGCCGACTGCCTTAATGTGTGACTGAAACGTTATTCAGCAGTAAAATTTCGTTTTGTGGAGCAGATGTTCCAGTGGTTCGTCGCGGACTCCGGTGTAATGATTATTTATTTCCGTTTCCGTTTGTGTAAATTTGTTTTTTCTTTTTATTCTTTCGAACGAAACGCTACCGCTAACGTTTACCGTACATAAAAGGATTTTTTAATGGTCCGCGCTCTATAATTAACCCTTTGTGTACAAACATTCTCATTTTAAGTCCATACGTCCATCTTTGGAGGAATGTTCATTTATTGGGAAAAAGAGGTTGCGATAGGGATGGCTTGTTTACTACAAATGTTATGTTCTATTTTTGGGAAGGAGCCTTGATCTTAGAATAGTTTGTAGTCCTTCGTTCTTTAAATACGAAATAAATCCAGTTCTTTCGAAGGAATGTTGTTTTGAATTGTATTTCTCGTAGAATCAGTTCTAGTAATAAAATAATTCGTAGTAGTCTGTATTCTGTCGAAACTGCCAGACGCGGATCGCGATTTCGATCTTTTTGGATCTCATCAGCGCGTCGCAGACAGCTCCGACAGAACACAGACCAACATTTACCTGCTGTCTTTCAACGAGTAGATATCCATATATTTAAATGGACCTTGTTGGAGCATACGTAATCCTAAAATGTAGCGTCGTGCTATAGATGGCGTTTACCGCGCTATTTGTGGTATTTTCTAAAACGCGCTGTTAAGACAGCAGGTAAAAGTTAGTCTGTGTTCTATCGGAGCTGCCTGCGACGCGCTGATGAGATACAAAAAGGTCGAAATCGCGATCCGCGTCGGACAGTTTCGACAGAATACAGACCACTTCGAATTATTTTATTCGATTATGGTAACGTGCCTATCACGTTGAGGGTTAGCTACGCTGGGATTCGTTTCAGCAAGTAAATATCCATATTTTTAAATGGACCATGTTGGACCATACGTAATCCTAAAATGTAGCATCGTACCACAGATGGCGTTTACCGCACCATTTGTGGTATTTTCCAGTTCTAGTAAGTCTTTATTTTTTGTGTAGACCCTTCAACTGATCAATAATCCTTGCAGGTTTTGCTTGCTAGTTGAGGATTCCCAATTTCGGCCTTTCTTCCTGTACTTGGATCTTAGACGAATATTCCAGGCTATTACACGTAGTCGTAATTTTGTTATAATTTATCTTGGTGCAGTTCTATCAAAATTGGATCAGCCTATCTCCTTAAATAGTCTTATGGCTTCATTTTTTCTTGATCTAGATCTTAATCTAATCTATAAACCCCTGGTTTTTCAATTTGTCTTATGTGTAAGACATTTGTGGAGGTTTTGTTATTCTAATTTGTGATCTCTTGGTGATATCAGGTTTTATAACCTTGATGCGTGCCTTATTCTGTTGCATGTCAAACTTTAGTTTTAGTCCAGGTTTCGCGTATCAAAGTGATCTTGTTAAGCCTTCGTCAGACCTTAATTATTGCTAAGTCTTTACTTTATAGTCCAGGTTTATGCTGCAGACGTTAATGGCTTAGAACTTAATCATGGGTTTGCTTATCGTACCCTTATTAATCTTATTTTAGGCTTTGTGAAGTTGTAGTTTCCTTTTCTATGTCTTTAAAGGATGTAGCAGAGAAGCCGTCGTTTCAATTTGCTTGACAAGATCGTCTTGTTGGTTGTTATATAATTTCCTAAAATAGTAGTCAATGATATTTTGTAAGTGCATAAACGATCACATTAAACTTTAGATACGTTATGGGTACTGCCCACACACTTCGGAAAGACGAAAACTTTGTTTGCGGTTAGTTATTTACTTACTGTTTTGTACATATGTACGGAAGTTGTCGAACTCCGAAACGGCCAAATTACGTAATTTACGTTTTGTGTTAACAAAAACAAAAATTGGTTGTAAACGAGACGTTATATTTTTTCATTTGTTTGTTTCAGGGTTGCCGGTGGTGCGAATGGAATTTTCACCCGCCGTCTGGACTTCAGTTCTTTCAACGCCCTTCCACCTAACAGGCTGAATTCTTATCAGATAAAGGTTAGTTTTTGATAAGACTAATTTGAAGTTCTAATATCTGATTCACACATTAAATAAATGAATAAATAAACAATGTGCCTTGGCATCTAATAAAACAAAAATTGTTAAGACCTGTTGAAAATAGTAGACGAGTTTCTAATGTCATGAGTATGACCATGAGATTGTGTTGTTGAATGCACATGTTTATTTCTAATAAATTTCTGACCGTTGTTTACAATTAGTGTAGTTAACCCGATAGTTTTTGGCTGTTGTGGGGGAGCCCGACGAATGCATCCGAAACAGCAACTAATCTGATAATAAGATACGTATCGCGGTATCAAGTGAAACAGAATTTATGTCCATTTACAATCAACAAAACAACTGCAGTAACAAAAGAACAACAAAAAATAAGAAATCTTAGTTTGTTGTCCGTTCATTTTTTCTTTTTGTCTTTTATTGTGTGCCATCAATTGTTTTTAAAAATTTCAGAATTATAATTCTGATGTAATACAACACATCAATTGTTTCATCGTTTCAAGTTGTTTTTATCGAACAATAAAATATAAAGGAAGATATGATATCCTGCTAGGTATAATAATGTAGGTACAATATCAGATAGATAGGTACTTTATTAATTACTTCCATAAAAAGTAATTAAAACGCCAAGTATTTATTGAATGCGGTTTTTTTTTTTGAGTTAAACATGTCTGAAATAATGACAACAAATTGGTGCGATAACGCGTTTGTCTGGGTTTCGTTAAAAATAGACAATCTTAATGCAAAATATTTACGGTTAGGGATTGAAACAAACGCCTGTGGTATTTGACTGGTTTCAAGTGTTTGATTCGTTCGTGGCAAACATTGAACTACTTTTCTCGATTCGGTTTTGTTTTTTTCTTTTCGGCTACTGATTACAAATTTTATTTGTTACAATCAGTGAAATAAATATGAACAAAAATTGTGTGTAAATACAAAATATGCGCAGTAATACCCAACGTGCAATAATTATGTCTGCCTGGTTTAATCTGTGTTAACCTATTATTAAACTCATTTAGAAAAATATTTATTTTTCCTGATAGATATGGCTTTACTTTTAATTATGCATTTTTTTATCAGCTGTCATATATACTCAACATTCCTCTTATGTGTACAAATGATTCGTATATACATATATACCTACATGTAATGAAAATGTGGCACCAACATTGTTGTTTACAACAGTTACGGGTCGGGTATACGTGCCGCTGAAAACGTTTTATTTTTTTCGCGAACACACTAAAGTCTCCTACTTGTGTTTACACTTAACTATTATAATTTAAGAACGAAAGTGAATCAAAACCTAGGTCAAATGTAACGTATGGTACACATAAAAGTTCTAATCAGTTTTTTGTTAGTATTCGGACACAAAAGCTCTTCTAAATAGCAAAATTCAAATGTTTTCTAGTACCTACGTATTACGTTTAGTTTTTTTTTTTATTTTCGACGATACTTTTGCTGTACAGAATTTTATTTGGTTACCGTGGATGCAACGCAAGGGCTGGTGGGAATTAATTGAGGGGTTGATAAAAGAGGGTGCCACGGTGACGTAATAGGGCCTGGGGGTAACGAACAAGAGGGTGAGGTGTGGTCATGATCATTCTGCTGTAGCACTACATATAACGGATAAAAACTGTTACAGCGTCAAAATCAGTTTTGTTAGAAAAAACTGTAAATATTTCCTAAATTTATAGTAAATCGTGTTAATTATCCTTCATATTTTTATTAGGTAATATTCACACAAAGCACAAACATTTTTGTCCAGTTGGAAAACAATTCTCGCATAGAAAAAGACAAAATAAGAACAATTGCAACACTCATTTGTTATTGGCGGTATTATTTTGTTTCTGTTGTGGTAGTTATTTGTTTTTGTATCCATTACTGACAGAGATCAGACATTTTTGTTCAGTTGGAAGACAAATTCTCGCAAAGAAAAAGACAAAATAAGAACAGTTCCAACACTCATTTGTTATTGGCGGTATTATTTTGTTTCTGTTGTTGTAGTTATTTGTTTTTGTATCCATCACTAACAGAGATCAGATTTTTCGATCGGGATATGAAGTTTGGCACACTGTTCGATGGGAATGTGTGCGTGTTGGTACGTTTCTCTTTTGTCAGGGGATGGATGATAAATGAAGGTGGTGTCAGGGCCACTCGGGCTGCATTAACGATACAGGAAGGGTGCTCGAACAACACGCTGTAGGATGAGGTAGGCCAGTGAGAGTACGGATTATCATTTAGCATTGGGGATACGTGCGGGCTTCCCTCGTCAATTTCACTGCAACGTCACGGTCCTCTGCATTCGATCGAATTTAGTCCTGACCTTCAAATATAGAAGGCTGCTGCTGCTGCTGCTTCCTCTGCACAGCAACAACCCCTAACGTTTATAACTGCATTTCAAACAGTTGAATATTTTTTTATTAAGTTGAAACAATTGCAAGAAAGCGGTAGAATGTAGATTCTGGATGGATTTTTCTTAATTTTTCGATGTCTAAAACTCTTAAAATCATTAGCCATTGGATGATTTAATTAAAAATGGAGTAATACGTAGAGGAAGAAATGTATTCTGTTTCGGTTAGAACCTAATTTTTTCGAGAGGTTGTTTGGGACACAAGTGTTTCCCAGAAATACATAAAATTCATTCTAAGGGTAGACTGACGAACGAAATATTCTGGAGATGGCAACGCTGCATTTCGAATTGTCTGGTTTTTTCCACGTGGGGTCGTAATCTCTTTAACTGCCCTACCTCACCCTCTCGCCTGTTATCGACGAACTCAGGCCAGGCAAACGCACCCTCGCATGACAACCCTCCGGAGAGAAAGAACGAGAGCCACCCTTAAATGTAACGCAACCTTCCGAGTATTTCAGCACATCATAGTCGAATAGAACTTGACGAGAGAACTTTTTCGTCTTCAAAAAATATCTAGCCAAAATGACACCAATACACATATGAAAGGCATAGAAAAACACCTGAATACTGTAATTATGTATTTGAAAACCAAAAAAAAAAAATGACGATCACGATATTTAGATTCCATTAGTGTCATAGTTCAAAACTACGCCAGATTTTTAGGTCTCCCAAGGATTCTACGTCTACTTTTGTCTGTTTATGTTTGCGTGGTGGTACAAGCCTAATGCGTTTCATGTATTTGTGTGTGTATCTACAAGAACCGCCGCCAGTCGTCCGCCTCCTCTTCGGTTACTTCTTTTGCTCGACTGGTTTGTGCTGTCGGCCGGTTAGCAAGCTGCTGGGTCAGGGACAGCCGCGGAATGATTCCTCGAAGGTTTTATCAATGACAAGGAGGTCACCGAAACGCCGAAGACTTTCGTAATAACGCTGAACGACGTGAAGAAGTCGAAGACGAAGACGGAGACGAAGAGGAAGTCGGCGAACGACTGCAACCGGCGTGAGACGTTGCCAAACGGATTCACATGAAGCCATCAAGGTCTTCTAATACCACTGAAAATAGTGCTGAGGTTGTCTATTTCGTGAAAAATAAGGTCGTGGAAGTTTTCGCTAGGCCTTGCTACATAAAGGATAAATATTCGACGATTGAATAATCTCGATGTATCGAGTCTTGTAGCGCTGCAGTCAGGGTTCGTTTAGGTTTTGTTGCATGTGCATGATGGGTTTGTTTACATGAATGACCAATAACAATTCTTCTGGACTTAATCGCCACATAACTTCTTATCAAATTTAATTCCTGAACCGTCAGGACAGTAACTAACCGCTTCTGTTTTCGCTCTTTGCAGTTGTTCACATCTTCTTTTGTAAAATGCATTTGGACAAAGGTTCTTGTGTTTTGACCTGTGGTCACACAAGGGTATTTTGGGATGCTTTTCTACCTTATACAGATCCAATCTCCTAGTTTTGCTTCATCAATTTCCATTTCCAAAACTTTTGGCATAACATTGAATAGATGCTGTTGGGTCCCTGTGTCCTTTTGGTTGTCTTTTCTGGGTCCCTACGGTGGAACGTTCGGTTCGGCAACATTGTCTTCTGGATTATAGCGGAACGTGAAGCCCGCTGTAGTTTTGTACTAACGTTGCATGACGACGGACTGCACTTCGTAGATGGATGACTGGTTCCTGGTGCAGCGTGACGCCTTGCTTCAAGCAGGCAAGATGTGCTTTCACACACACACACACATCCAACACACACAAACCCATTCTTCTCTGTCGTCTCGAAGCCTCAAGAGAATTGTGGACGGATGATGGCCCGTTGACCGTTCTACCGAAACGACTGGTAACTGCGACGTTTTTTTTTTTGTGGGAATGACATGCATTGTCGGCCACCACAGGCCTGACTACGAAATTGAGCTTGGAACCCACCGTTGATCCATATGGGCGAGTCCGAAGAATTAAAGTTAATTTTGACGGTCAGGACCTGGAATGAATAAAAACTAAAATTGCGTCACGGTACGATTCTGAAGGAAGGTTCCATTGGTATAGTAGGCACTTGAATGGGTAAAAACTGAAAAATTATTCATTAATAAATTTTTTATTGTCTAACTAATTGTCTTAATCGGTCAACAAATTGTTATGCTGCGATTGTATGATGAAACCACAGAAAAGATCCAGATTTCTGTCAGATGAACGTGCACGTAATAAAGTTTTCGTGGCAGTGTAGAGAGGATGGATAATCCTGTATTCCAGGCATGGATATCCAGCATCTGCAACGCGGTCGATACTGGACTCCAACCCGGCGGGATTTTGGGAAGGTGTGGTGCTGCACGGGGAGCACGGGCGATTGCTTTAGTTGGCTTATGAAAATTGCATCTGTACAAAGGATGCATCCCCTTCAAATGAATGTGTGTGGGTGCCGTAATTAATTGTCGTTGCAAGGGTGGAATACGAAAACAAGTGCGTAAATTTCGAGGAAATGCGTTCGCTCCGAATTTACCAATGTTACAGCGATTCAAATCAAAAAGACAGATGATAGAAACTTTGACGACAGCGTTGTAGAATGCAGAATACACTAAGCA